CACGCACTTGTTGTCTGGATATCAAATCTCTGATCAAATTTAACCCTGATAATGAACCATCTATACTCGGGGCAATTGATTGTACCGCATTGGTCAATACTAGTCTGCAAAACTAAATGATTTTTTTTACCGATTGTTCCCTCTACGCGTGAACACATAGATCAGGTACCTTTCTATTCCGAATGGCTTCTGATAAATGTAGAGCGTGTCTTCAAAAAACACTTGTCGATGTGAAGTAGTTGATCCTTTACAATTTATGAAGTAAAAGTATGGTGTGAAGTTACCAAGAAGGAAATTATTGAATGGTAATTCTCGCCTTGACTGTTCGCCAGTGGTTGAGCCATTGTCATGCGGGAACATTTTTGCTGTCGTATCATTTAAAAACGGCTCTCAAAGGCTTAAGCTAATTGATCAAGCGATTGTTAATGCTGTGAAATCTGAAATGGACTGGGGATTATTTGAAAACATATACTCAGTGGTCGTGTATTTTTGTGATTTATCAAAGGTGCACATCTCCATGGTTCATTCTTCTGATTCCATTTCATTTTTTATTTCATTTCATTCCGTCATTCTGCTAATTCCGTTGCGGTCTTGAGACACTGTTTTTGCAGAATCTTCGTTAATCAAAGTAGTAGTGGTTAGTTGACGTTTGAGATGAGTCGTTGTATGATTTCTGCGGTTGTAATATGCTTCTAACTTGTTTTAGGTCTAACGAAGCTGCTAGAACAGTGAAAGCCCACCAATACTTATATTAAAATAGAATATCAAAATAGTCCTCATAAACAAAAAAATTTCTGAAGAGAAAACATCCGAGGCTAAGGCTCAATTAAATCTATTTCATTTCAGTTGATGGAGCGCTTTCTTGAGACAGTGGCTGATCTGTTTGACGTAGGCCGAAAGGTGACTCGCATTGGAGACAGTGTGCTGCGTCTACTGCCACAAATTCTGTCACGTCTACATGTCCTCGAGCAATGTCCTGATTCTTCGCAAGCTCTCTCACGTCTCCTGGTGCACTTAACAAAGGTGAGTGTTAGAAAAAAGTCAGTATGAAGTTG